GGACGGGATGCTCTCCTGTCCCCACCCAGCGCTGCTGTTCCAGGGCAAAGGGGAGAAAGCCGCTCTCCGAGAGCTCCCCGGAGCCCGGAGCGGGGGGCCCGGTGCCCCCCAGGCTCCCCCCGGCCCCGGGGCTCCCGCGGCCGCCGCCCCCTCACCCCGGAGCTGGGGCTGGGACTCAAAAGAGCAATTTCACAATCGCCTATTAAAATGAGGCTGGGCGGAATTGCATTTCCCCGTCCCTTTAATCCAATAAGTCAGAACTTCTTAACTGATTAATTACAAAATTAATGAGTAAAATGGAAGCGTTTGGGTGAGGCAGGATGGTGGGGGATTTTATTTTATTTTATTTTTTTTTTTAATGTTGTGCTCTTTAAAAAGACTGATGGAAATAAAGTTACCTCAAAGCATCAGGGTGCTTTGATGCCTATAATAGCAATTTAGTTATTACATTAATAGATTTCCTCTTTATTTTTAACAAGGCATTGTTAAATATGGTCTTGTTTTGTCTGAAGGAGGAACGTTGGAGTTTGCATTTCCCATTATACGAATTCTGCCCGTGCAAAGAACTATTTTGCATTATTTCTCTGCCTTAGATCTCGGCATTAATGTGAGATTATCAGCGCATTTCACGGGGGGAGCAGGACTGGCAAAGCCCCAAGCCCGAGTATCCCCCGGCATCCCGACACCCCTCCTGCAGCACCAGCACTTGTGTTCACACGCACACTTTTCCCTCTGGAAACTACAGCACCCAGCTCAGCACAGCCACCCCCCGACATGAACCCCTCTACCCACAATTCCAGTTACAGGGGGCTGGTGGTTTGAGGCAGCACCAAAGCAGCAGTTCGATGCACACAAAATGTATTTTTCCCCCGCTAAAACTCCGCTGGAGAAAATACGGAGGTGACGCAGCAGCAGCCGAGATGAAGGAGTTTTACTCTGTCGTAATCAACTCGGAGGTGCCTTCCTTTCACTCAGCGATTGTCACTCTTGTCTCAGAGGATGGTAGGCAGAGATGTCTGCCGGGGTGGTACCCGCAGGTACCTGCGCTGGCTTTTCCCAGCTCAGGATGCCGCGGCTCGGAGCAGTGCCCGGAGCCGCTGCCGGGCTGCTCACACGAGCTGAGCGTGTCTGGGACACAAACACGCTCCTACCTCCATTAGGGGCTCGTATTTTTGGGGCAAATATAAAAGGAGAGGTGAAACTTGAGGTGGGTGGGAGATCTTTTTTTCCCCTCTCGAAGTGCTTTCGGTAAATAAAGGAAGGGGGGAAGGGGAGGACAGGGATGCTCAGTAAAGCACTGATGGGTGTTTGTCCCCTCAGTTACTTGCAGCTACTTGGAGAGTGGCATCAGCATCAGGCACAGGAAGGTGCCTGTCCCCTTTACTGGGACCTTTGCTAGAGATGGGCTGATTCAGTAAGAGAGAGAGGAAACCCACAATGCCAATTCTGTTTTCCCCCCATTCCTTAGGGTAAAACAATCTCCCCAAAGCCCTCATGACCAGGACCACACTCCTAGGGATGGCTCAGGATAAACACATTTCCTAAGAGCAAAAAAAAACAATCAGAAATGTGATGCTTTTTCCACCTTCTTTCCTAGGAAAAAGCACTTCCCACAGCCTACCTGAGGGCACTCCTAAACACTGAGGATTGAAGATACCTGAGGGAAAGGGTGAGGGGTTAAAGGGAGGGGGCACAGAGATGCTCCAGCCCCACTGAATGGGGCCCTCCAGCTCAGCCCCAGCTCAGTCACCGCTCCCCAGTGGAGGAATGACCCAGCTGAAAGCGCTGCTCAACTTCTGCAGGGGAGGCCGAGGGAACAACACCAGAATTCACACATGAAATGGGGAAATGACACCTCTGAGGGCAAGATGTGTCCTTGTGTCTGGACAGATGGACAGCAGCACAGCCAGCCCGGCTCAGAGCCCACGGGAGCTGTAGGGATTTTACAGATACATCCTGCAAAATATCCCCATGAAGTAGATGTGTCCTACAGGCTCTGAGTGAGCCGTGCAGGCTGCACAGACACAGCTGGGGCGATGTGGAGCACGCAGGGCATCACAGCACAAGCTCACACACAGCCTGGCCACGCAGGGAAATGTGCCACCCCACTAGGTATGTGTCACATAAATATATAAATAAACTCCAGTTCGCTCAGCACATCCGTGAGGAAGGAGCTGCAGAGCTGCCCCAACACATGGGCAGTGTCACAGCGTGGGAGAGGGGCTGTGGCTGTGCCCACCAGAGCCACGGGGGAATTTGTTCCTGCTTTCCCCTCCCTGAGGCAGATCCGTGCTTGGCTGTGGGGTGCCCTGAGCAGATGGTGGGGAGCAGAGCAGGGGCACCAGGCCTAGGGGGTCAAAGGCTGTGCCGAGAGATGGGGAGAACCCTGACTACCCCTCTTCTGCATCTCCCCATCCTGAATGAACATCCACAGCTGGGCTGAGGTTGTGGGGGATGCAGGGGAATGCAAAAATCAGAGGGATGGGGCGGGGAGCAGGGAATCGTGAGGGTCCTCGAGTGGGGGGCAGCATCAGCCAGGGATGTCTCCAGCCCTTGCACCCCCTTTCCCAGCATTCAGGTCCCATTCACAGCCAGAACCCCCTCCCACGGCCCTCAGAGCCTGCACCCGGCTTCCCAGAGCCATCTCCCAACATTTTGCAGAAACCCTGTTAAATAAGTGGCGAGCAGTACTTAAACACAGCGCTGTAATTATCAATTCCCCCCACATCCCCCCCTCAGATGTGAGGGTTTAATTGGCTCCGAGACGAGGAAGCTACGAGCAGCGTTATAAAATGAACTGACCCCGCGAAATGATGCAACATCTGGAGGCAGGGCAGGCGGGGAGGCAAGAGCATCTCTGCGGAGCATCCGTGCGCGCAGCCTGCGCCGACGGGAAGGGCCCTGCGGAGCTGCATCCCAGCTCCTGCCTCGGCAAGCCCGTGCTAAGAAAGAGAAGCCCCTCGGTGCTTACCTGCCCGCAGCCAGGCGCGTCCCCTCAGCACCTGCAGAACAGGAGCCCTCTCCTTTCAAACAGCCCTCAAAAATTTCCCCTAAGTCCACCCGGGTGATTATTTTTTTTAGAGCTAATCAAGGAAATAAAGTTAAAGAGGAGGAGAGTTCCTCTTGTTTGGGGTTTGATTTGGGGGAAGGAGGGGGTGGGGGCGAGTTAAAGAGACCAGTTGCTGCCCACTGCTTTGACCAGTGAGGGATTCAACCCTTATTACCATTTTGTTTTTGTCCAGATTTGCAAGTAGGGCCCCCTGCATTCAAATCATCGCCCTCCATCCTTATTGTAAAGGACAGGCCTTAGTGGGCCCCCTTTGGATTGTCCTCCATTAACAATCCCTTCTTTTGTGGAGGTGTTTCTTTTTCTATTCACACACATTGCTGATGGTACTTCAGGCCCAGCTCTTAAAGAAACTGTTTGCAAAATTATACCTTTCCACACACTACTCCACAAGGAAGCGGGGAACTGTAGTTAGGAAAACATTATTGAGGCTTGTAATTTAATTAAAAATGTTAAAGCTGGCAAAGGGGAAGGGAGAGAGGGGAAAAAGAGCATAAAGGTGCAAAAGCAGGAACCAGGTTTATTTATTTTTTTTTTTGAGCTCAGGGGCAGTGCTCTCACTCCTGCCCGTGCACACCAGAGCGTGTCAGGCTGCGGGGACACGGGCTGCCCACGGCTGTGTGTGTGCCACGCTCCCGGGCCGGGCGCAGATGATGCAGCCAGACACCCTTAAGCAAACAATGTTTTTAAAATGTGAATGCAAGCTCGGACATGCGTGGACAGAGCCCGAGGGGCACGGCTGTGCAGCGGGCAGCTGCCGGCTGCTTGGGGCAAAGGCCTGGCCTGCGGTGGCTGAGGGGGGTTGCACACTGCTCTTCGTCAGCCTCCTCCTGAAAACATCCCTCTTTACGAGTTTAGGCTGAAAAGAAAGCTGGAGGAGCTGCATCCCGCTCAGCATCCTCAGCAAGGCTCAGAAGCACGTCTGCAGCGAGGACACCCTTCCTTTGGTTATTGTTGTTATCCTCGTCGCCAACAGATCTGTAAATGTTCAAAGAACAACACGACTTAAAAAAAAAAAAAATCATAATAATTCAGCTGGCGAAGCAGGGCAGAGCCTGACCTCCGGCTCCATGGATGAGTGCTTCGCTGGGACCCCTGCTGAGCCAATGTGGACCTTCAACATCAACTCAGAAATTG